GGGGAGTTAACTAAATGTTGCTATCAACAAAATTACCTGCTGACTTCTTTAGGAATAAATGTGAGCTGATTGTTGTTCAGATTAAGTAGGATCAAATTTTTCAAGCCATCTGTTAGAAAATAATTTTAGACACTTCAGTTATATATATATGTTAGCTATAATTCTTAGCCATTTTTCTGTATAACTTGATTTTCCTTCTGATTTCTTGTCTTGCCCATGGCTCTTGGGTTGCTAATAACAGATAACTTCTTAAACTCGCTTCAAAAACAAAAAAGGTGAATTTATCACAAAGTTTCACTATGCTAAATCATGGTGCCCGAGGACAGAAGTTATAGCCTAGTTAACTGAACTCAAACCAGAAAGGCACTACAAAAGGCACTGGAACACATAAATATTTGTGGAGGGAATGAATGAAGTCCAAGGATTCTTCTTTACGGATGACATTCATCTACCCAACAAAACACCCCGTGGGAAATAAGTCAAACACTCCATGCCCCCTGCATCTGTGAATCCCACACTCAGCTCTGACAGGCCCAGCAAATGTGCCCACCCAAGCAAACCAACACGGGCACACATAACACCATCTCTCGGCACTGTGCACACCTGTTCCTTTGCGGGGCTCATCTCTCCTGCCCATGGTTCTGTGACCTGTGCCCCAATTACAAAATTGTGAAATCGTAACATGTTACAGCTGCGAAGATTTTGGAATTCACATACTCAGATTTACACAGTGCCTCTGTGAGATTTTCCATGATGAGTTTCTTGAGAGCTGAGCAGGTTGGACTCCCATTCAGCCAGCTCCTAGCAATTGCTGCCATGTGGCAATGTAATTCCAGTCTTGCCTAATCTTTCTTTTTCAAAACAGACAGAAAGGTCCAAAAATCCAGCCTTTATGTGAATTCTCTTGATCTGCAAATCTTGGCACTAAATTCAAACTTATATGTAATACTTTCAACAATAAAGCTAAATTTAAACAAACAAATGCATTGGAGTAGAGACAGAGAGAGAGAGAGAGAGAGAGAAGAAAAACACAGACAAAACAGAACCAACCTATTTGTGACCCAGATTCAGCTCATGAGCCACCCATTTACAACCACTATCTTATGATTACTTAAGCCAATTAAATTGTTTTAGATTTTATCACAATCCCCAGCAAAGAGTGTATGATTGACACAGCTTAGGACACACATGTAACCCTGGTCCAGTCTGCTCTGGTCAGGGGACAGGGTCATGTAATACATGCTGAACAATGCAGTTGGATAATCATGATCTGATATAGACCATAATTTATGTCAATCACATAGGATTTTCAAAGTTCAACAGCCCCAAAATTAAGACATACAGGATCTAAAGACATTTAGGGGCAGTGTACACAGATTACATATATTTTACAAACCTCATTTAAAGGCAACATGAGAAGCAAAATTTCCTTACAGAAATCTAAATTAGCATTAAATTGTTTAATATTATATATATCAGATTTTACTTAAATTTATTCCCTCAGTATAGCTAATAAAATGTTGTCTACTTGTTTCCATTCCCTGAATTTTTTATTATGTAAACTGTTTTCTTCCTAAGTAAACTGTTAATAGAATGCTGAATATGTGGTATTGTATATATAAAGTGCATAAACATTGATAAGTATTTGTCACAGTTTTTTTTTAATCTTCACCTGAGGATATGTTTTTATTGATTTTAGAGAGAGAGAAAGGAAGAGAGAGAGATGGAGAGAGAGAAAGAGAAACATCGATGTGAGAGAGACACATAGATTAGATCAGTTGCCTCCCTTACGTGCCGTAACAGAGGCTGGGGATTGAACCTGCAACCCAGGTACATGCCTTTGACTGGGAATTGAACCTGACACCCATTGATGCATGCCGGGGTTCTTGTTCCAGCATCTAGAAGGGTTCAGCAATCTGGAGAAGGCTGTGCGTAGATTAAATAGGAGTCCAGAGATAAAAAATAATTTTGAAAGGCATTTGGGGGTCAGAGGAGCCTAGTTTAAAGGGAACTAAGATCTCAGATCTCCTCGTCTCAGGACCCCATGCTTTTTATTAACACAATTTGTCCTGAGGCGAGGCAGAGATATACACTTCAAAGGGTCAAGGTTTCCTATACAGAGACATTGTCAGATTGGAAGAATTAGCCTACGGCTGTTCAGGTGTTTGGCCAGTAGGAGGCAATAACATGTAGATTAGCCCTAACTGGTTTGGCTCAATGGATAGAGCGTCAGCCTGCGGACTGAAAGGTCCCAGGTTCGATTCCGGTCAAGGGCATGTACCTTGGTTGCGGGCACATACCCAGTAGGGAGTGTGCAGGAGGCAGCTGATCGATGTTTCTATCCCTCTCCCTTCCTCCCTGTAAAAAATCAATAAAATATATTTTTAATAAAAAAAAAATAACATGTAGATTAAGATGCCCTTTGCTGTCTGGCAGCAAGCAATCAATTTAATGAATCCTATTCAGGTTTGGGGAATGACATCAGCCATTCCCAGATTCAGCCCTGCTGAACATGCTGGAATTGGTTTCCGGCAGGTGCACAGGCCAACACTCTAACCCCTGAGCCACACCTGCCAGGGCTAAACCTATTATCTTGATCAAAGACTGTGACTTAGTATCTGAGACAAAATAAAAAATATAAAGGAAAAGGAGAGCTGTGGAAAGCTTTCCTTGATTTGATTTTCCACTAGTTCTCACTCTGGCACAAAGAAAGGGCCCATAGATTCAAGAGTATAAACAGACATGAAAATTCACTACACTAATGCTTGCTTATTTTCTTAGGTCTACATCTAAAGAAATATACTACAATAGCTGGAAAAAAAGTCCCCAGAATTTCATAATTTCAAGAGTAGCATGTAAATATCTCCCCCCAAAAGCAAAACATGTAAAGTTCCTTTTTCATCTAAATTGTTAAGTATAAGGGGATTCAGTTCTAAATTGTTAAATATAAGGGGATTAATTTTGAGACTATAATACTGCTTTTCTTTGACTAACTTACCACATGCTCCAGAAGCAAATCTATTAATTCTATTCCCAAATAAATGGAGATTCTTCAGGGATGTGAGGTATTTCACCTCTTCTGGAACTTCTTCTAAAAGGTTGTTTCCCAGATTTAGTACTGTCAACTGCAAACATATAGAGATTTAATGGACTCAGACATTATCTACCTTCAGATGAGAAAAAAGAAATAATTAAGTCCCTTTGCTGAGATGGACATAACCTACGAAAACTTCAGCATGATCACAAACAATCCTTTTACACATATCTAAAATAATTTTTATAAATAAAGTTCATTTTAGTTCGTGTTCAAACACTTTATGCTAATTAAAGCACACTTTAATTTTCAATTAAAGCACTTTAATAAAGTTGTATCGCAAACCATTCCAAGGGTATTTAAAAATGCAGTTAATGGTTCATTTATAACTCACTTGAATAGCTCGAGAATACCCTAGCATTGTGACCTATAGACTCAAAACCATTAAAAGAAATCAACAAAGGAGCTAATTTCCTGAAGTCAGAAATATTGCCAAAGATCTGAGGTTCTCCTGTCATACAACTCCCAAGTGAAGCATTAAATTCAGGTGGAGCAAGAGGTGAGCACAAGGATAACAGGCATGACTGCAGTGGGCCAGGCGGGCGATGAGGATGGCGTGGGCGACATCTTTGCCTAGATCCTTTTCCTGCTCTGCTCTACTCTGCTTCCTTCACCCCCTTATGGGTTTCTCCTGATAGTGCAGCCTCAATTAATTACAAAAATCTATGACTCAGGCTCTCAGAGATATATAGTGTCACAGAAGCCAAGAGAAAAGAAAAGGCAGCTATTTTAAGAAGGTAACTGTAGATCAAATCCTAGAGAAAAGTTAAGTAAAATAAAAATGAAGAAATAACCACTGGAATTAGCAATGTGAACAGCAATAGTGACCTTGACAACAGGAGTGAAGTGTTGGAAAGGAAACTCTGTTTGAGGTGTGCTGTCAAGAAAATGTGAGAAAGCAAAGACAATTATTTGAAGAACTTTTGCTATAAAAGGACACTGGAAAATTAGGAGGCAGCTGGAGGGTTTGTTTTTCCCTAAAATAACATACATTTCACTTTATTATATGCTGATGGACATAAACCTGTAGAGAATGAGTAACTACTAATACAAGGAGAGGGATAATTGCAGAAATCAAAATCCTTTAGATTTTAAGAGGATAGGATCCAAGTTGCAAGTAGGACCTTTTCATCCAGGGAGTAAGAAGGAAGGTAGAGAAAAGGTATGTGCAGATCAGAACACTGGATCGATTTGGTGATGGAAAGATGAGGGAGCTCCTGACTGATAGTGTCCATTTTTCAATGAAATGTGAACCAAAGTCTGCTGAGAGGAGGCGATGTAAGAAATTTGATGAAATGTAATTTTGAAGATCAATCTTGGGAAATATACTAGGATAGCTGACAGTCAACAGTTAGCTCTCAAGATGATATAAAGTAGATAGATAACCCAAGAAAAGGCACTTATCTGGGTGACACATCCTATATAAGAAAAGGCTAATATGCAAATCAACTGAATGACAAAACAACCAGTTGCTATGATGCACACTGACCACCAGGGGGAAGACGCTCAATGCAGCATCTGCCCCATGGTGGTCAGTGCGCTCCCATAGAGGGAGCACTGCTCAGCCAGAAGCCGGGCTCATGGCTGGCGAGTGCAGTGGCGATGGTGGGAGCCTCTCCCGCCTGCTCAATAGCGCTAAGGATGTCCGACTGCTGGCTTAGGCCTGCTCCCCACAGGAAGCGGGCCTAAGCTGACAGTCGGACATCCCCCGAGGGCTCCCAGACTGCGAGAGGGTGCAGGCCAGGCTGAGGGACCCCTCCTCCCCTCCTGCCCAGAGTGCACGAATTTTGTGCACGAGGCCTCTAGTTAACTATACGGCTTTGGCTAGAAAAGGCTACCATGTGAAATTCTGAGCACCACCACCAAGAATATGATATTAGATGATGAACAGGGTTCAACTGATAACCTCAACATTTAAAGGATTTCAAAGTTAAAACTAAGATGAAGTCCATGGAACTGGGATGATTCTTGATGGAATAAGATCACTAAAAAAAAAAGATTCATTGATGACCTTCAAAGTCATAAAGGTATCTGAAAGACCAGGTGGTTATCCTCTGTCACCGTGGCAAATATGTCAGATCTCCAGCATTGATTACATAAACTATACAGAAAGGTCCAGAGACACCTTAGCAAAAAAATGAGTTGCTTTTGAGAAATACCTCAAGACCCAATCTAAATGTTCCATTACTTTAATCGTATTTGTTATATGTGTACTATGTACCTTGTACTATTCTCTATACTACAGTAAAAAAGACACATAAGATTCCCTCTCTCATAGTGCTTATACATTGGGAAATAAGACAGACAACAAGTAAGTAGACAAATAATTTCTATTACTGCTAAGTGCTACATAAAAGGGAAAGAAAATAGGATAATGGCATGGAAAGTAACTCAGGCTGTCATTAGGGAAGACCTCTCTGAGGAGGTGATGTTTGCAGGAAGGCAGTAGGATGCCTTGGCAAGGCTACTCGAAATGATGTTTTACTCACAAGGCTTTCAGAAATAGCAAGCATCCAGAACGAGCACGATAGTATTGCATTAGTAACACTCTCTATGGTTATGGGCAGTCCCCAAGGGAAGACTTTAGTCATATAAGAGACAACTACTGGGGTAAATTTAAAACTTACATTACTTCAATAATTGTATATAGAATGAAGTTCTGCTGGTGTTTTCAGAGTATAACTCTTCTATTCCTTGATTGTGGCATATTGCTATAGATTGAAATACACCATTGCTACTAAATAGTTTCTCATGGACCCATAATGCAGAGAACAATGAACTTTTAAAAGTCATCTAGTGTATCATATAAAATGCAAATGGGCAATTATATATCTTCCTCATGACACAATAATGGGTAGCTTTTTTATTTTGCTAGAAATTTTTATTTATTTTTCTATATTTAGGCTCTCTGAAACTTCTACCCAATTTTCCCCACAGCAATAATAAAAATATAGCAGTCTTTCAAAATGTTAAAGACTGCTATTATATTTCCCCTAAATGTGTTCCATTCTTCCTTAACCAATTTCCTCAGGACATAATTTGCATACCCCTCACCATCCTGGTCACTCTCTAATTTTTGTAAGAAAACATGGTGCCTTGGCTGAGACAAGGGAATGTGGTCTCAGTATAGATGCTGGTGAGACCACAGAATCTCCCTCAGGCAGATGACTATACTTATATTAATGCCGCCTAACCTGGCATCCACTCTTTGATCAGCAGGACACATTGTTGGTACATAATTAATTTTGTCTGTGACAACAAAAACTGCTAAGTTAACAGTCAAGGAGATCACTCACATCCAAGACTTACACAGTTGAGTTATTTTCTTAACTTAAATGCAGTTATCCCTGCAAAAATTGCATCGTGATGGTTTGGGCTCAAAAGACATCTCAAGTGAATGTGATGATGTCACTTTAAATTCAAAGTCTAAAACTGGACACCCCAGCTCTGTTTTTCCCATCTGCACTTTGGCTAACGCACCCATCATTCTTGTAATCCTATGGTAGCCCCACTTTGAAATCACCTAAGACTTCTTTTTCTCCACCTACATTCAATCAGTCAACAAATTCTATTCTCAAAATTCCTTTTAGATGCAACTTTTCAGCTATATCTCATTGCAATCACTCTCATAGTAGTAGTCATCACTGCCTAATTATAGTATTACATAGCTGAAGAATGCAATAAAATGGGATGTGCTATCATTTAAATTCCCTTTGTTCAATCCTGTTGGATTGCATATAAACAGCTGCCCAAATAATCAGCTGATGAGGATTTTCTTTACCCAATATTTCCTTAAATATTTTCAACCTCTCTGTAGCCTTTTTGACATCTTTGTATACTTGCCCTAAGTAGTGTCTATCCCAACTCTGGCTCACTTGGCCAGAGCATCAACCTGTACACTAAAAAATGGTGGGTTTGATTCCCCATCAGGGCATATACCCAGTTGAGGATCCAATCCCTGGTTAGGGCACATGCAAGAGGCAACCAATTGAAATTTCTCTCTCACATTAATGTTTCTCTCTCTCTCTCTAATCAATAAAAAAAGAATGATCATAAATAACCACATACATACACATAATACATTCATACACTAATCATAATAGCAACAATAATTTACTGAAAAGTTTCTATGTGCCAGGCATTGAGCTTTATATATATTAACATTTAATTAAATCCCCAAATATGAAGACAGTTGTTTTTTTTTCACACCTGTATCCTCAGAATCAGCATAGACACAAAAAGATTAATTTGTTAAAAGAATGGCTATGTAAACAAATAAAAGGTGGGGATAATTCATGTAGTGTTCAAACCTGCCATCTTTAGGCAACACAGTTTTGTTTTTAGGTACTATAAATTGAACACCACACCCTTGTAAATCGCACACTAAGTGTATAGAATAAAATAATAGAGCTGAACGTAACCTCATGTTATAGATGTAGGCCCTGATTGAGTGACCTTGACAAGTGGCTTAATCTATTCCTGAACCATAAGTTTTATTAACAATATGAGGGTAATAACTTCCTTAAAAATGAACAGAGTTCTTAGCATTGTGCCAGCTCTCACTAAATGGTTGATGTTGTTATTCTATTGGATACCACTTTGTGAGTGCACAAAAATAAAAGTATCATTTTTGTTTTAGGAACTTAAAAATATCAAGACAATATGAATGGTGCATTCTATGCAAAATATGGCCAAGATCAGTATATTGGGGCCAACTGGACTTCCTCCAATGACAAAAGAAATATTAGTCCAAAAGGCAAGCATAGTATATATATAAAAAGTGGTAGCAAAATATCATTATTAACAAAGAGTATGGCCTGTAGCAACACAGGCAAGAGTTCAAACTAACATTTCAAGAATCCATTTAGGGATTTTATAGGAAACTAGAGGCCCGATGCACGAAATTCGTGCTCTCGGGGGGAGGGGGGTCCCTCAGCCTGGCCTGCACCCTCTTGCAGTCTGGGAGCCCTCAGGGGATGTCTGACTGACGGCTTAGGCCAGATCCCCACCCCCGGCCCCCGCGTGAAGCAGGCCTAAGCTGGCAATCAGACATCCTTAGCATTGCTGCAGAGGCAGGAGAGGCTCAGGGCTTCTGGCTGAGCGGTGCTCCCCGTGTGGGAGAGCACTGACCACCAGGGGACAGCTCCTGCGTTGAGCGTCTGCCCCCTGTTGGTTAGTGCACGTCATACTGACCGGTCGTTCTGCTGTTCAGTCGATTTGCATATGAACCTTTTATTATATAGGACTGTTAGAATAAGAATTCTTATATCTTTGAACTATGACATACAAATCACCAAGTTACAAAGACCACAAGGACACTGTGCAACAGAGGTCATTCATCAGTATTTCCGGCCAAATGCCACAACATGCCCTGCCCACTTTCTCTGCTTTATTTTTCTCTTTAGCACTAATCACTTTCTCATATCCTATTTGTTTTGTTTGTTTCTTATATCTCATCTGATTAGAACTTAAGGACTTAAGCTCCATGAAGGCAGGGATTTTCATGTTCTGTTTGCTGATGAGTTACTAGTTCCTAGTGCCTGAGACACAAATGGTGCTCAATCTTATGTTTGGATTCATTAAATGAAGGCAGAATTGAGGCCCAAAGAGATTAAGTGTCTTATATTTACCTGTAAGTGGCTAACCCAGTTAAGGTGCCCAAGACCCCAAATTCACATTCAGGGCTCTTTGCAGCTTTCTAAACTTTCTTTCTTTTAAAACACAATGTACTACTTTATTTTATTTTTTATTTTTTGGTTAATCCTCATCCGAGGTTATTTTGTCCACTGATTTTTAGAGAGAGTGGAAGGGAAGGGGAGAGACAGAGAGAGAGAGAGAAACATCAACGTGAGAGACACATTGATTGGTTGCCTAACATAGGAGGATTGAGCCTGCAACTGAAGTATGTGCCCTCAACCAGAATCGAACCTGGGATCCTTCTGTTCACGGTCCGACACTCTATCCACTGAGCCAAACCAGCTAGGGTATAACTTTCTATCTTCTTAACCCCTCGTCTGCTCTTTTATTAGCAAATGTGAAAATGACTGAGCAGTATTTCTCAACTGTGTAAATACTAGTAATCTATATTCATCTTTTGAGTGTTTCCAGCAGTTTTTATTCAAGACTAGATGCCCGATGCATGAAACCTGTGCAAGAGTAGGCCCTCATGGCCCCAGCTGCCTTGCAGCCCTGTCCCCCCGCCCACTGGTCTTCTGGAAGGTCATTCTGGAAGGTCATTCTGTCATCCAGTCTAATTAGCATACTAGCTCTTTATTATATAGGATGGTTCTAAAACTCCCATTATACAGGAATATTTTTTTTAAATTCCACAACCTTAGAGATGCTATATAAGAAAAATTATGAGTTCATGAACAGCTGAACAATGTCATTGCCTTAAGTAGAGAGCTGGCTCAGCTCAGCCCTTAAATAAGAAATCATATTTTACTTTTAAAAATGAATATAACTGATTTGAAACTACTTCAAAAGAAATGAATGTCCCTCCTTCCCATTCCCTGACAACACTCCATTTCAAAGTTCAGCCTGCTGTAGTCGGTCGGTGTGGCTCAATGGTTGAACATCAAACCATGAACCCAGAGGTCCCCGGTTCAATTCCTGGTCAGGGCATATGCCTAGGTTTCAGGCTTGATTCCCAGTGGGGGGTGTGCAGGAGGCAGCCAATGAATGATTCTCTCATCACTGATATTTCTCTCTCTCCTTCTCTCTTCCTCTCTAAAATCAATACAAATACTTTATAAAAAATTTCAGCCTGCTGTAGGAAACTAAAAAGGAACCTCCTTCCTATACCCCAAATGTCTCTTCATTCTGTAGGCAAAAGCCTTGAGAGTCCCCAGGATGCACAGCATTTCAGGGATCCTCAAGTGCACTTCCAGATGGAGCCCCCAAGGTAGACAATTAGATCTAGACTCCCAAGCCTTTCCAAAAGACAGCCTCCAGAAAGATGAGTATGGCAGAGACCTAATCCTGAGTCCAGATGTGCTCCAAAGAGAACATGAACAAAATGAAACTACTTCTTCCCCTACCACATAGAATTCCTAAGGGAGAACACCTCCAGGCACCTCTCTAACAAGGATCCACAGGAAGTGTTCAAGAAACCAAATCTCTACATATCAAAGCCTATTGTTCTCTCACCTCTTTGATCCTTAATCCAAAAAGATGAACTCTTTCTCACCTGGGTCAAGGTGCTTAACTCTGAGCACACCCTGGAGACTAGGTTTTTCTGAAGGTTTAGAACCTTCAGGCCAGGCAGGTTTCCTATTGTAGAGGGTATCTTTGTCATCTTCTTCCCATTCAAGGTAATGATCTTAGTGTTTTTACCACCCTTTACTGCTCTAAGGAACAACCTTTCTTCCATGAAGTTGGAGGAGAGATAGGAAAAGGGATAAGGTACACATTAGGGGTTAAGTTCCTTATTTGGTACCTTTACAATCTCTAATTGCAGAATGGTTGTGTCATGGAAACAAAAAACATTCTGAGATCTACCATGCAGAAGGTGGGAGGCATCAGGCAGTTTCCTGAGTAAGAGGTAGGGAGGGGAAATAGCTGATTCCAGGCTTGGGGTAGAAAATGTACAAGATGAGCCGAGGATATCTTATGCCAGAGACATGGAAGTAATTGAAGACTAAGCAGATCCAAGAACATTAGTGCCAACTTATAAGGAACATCACCGGTCTAAAATCAGAAAATTTGAGGATCAGAAAAAATAATCGACAGTGGCCTGGTCCATGAACATGTAAGGATTCATCACGGTAGTTTTAAAAGAAAAGAAACTCACTGATTACAGTGGGGCTCCCTAGGGAACCAATTCGTAAGTCTGAAAATTGATCAAGGAAAAAATGCAGCATTTACCAGGTATCTTGATCTGAAGGCCTATGAACTAAAAAGACGAGTTATCTGTTCCCATATATCCAGAATTTAACAAAGGGTTTTCTAGTCAAGCCCTTGGCTTCACCTTTAGACTTTTATTTGGCAAGCTTATTTTGTGATTAAATTTGCTCTGACTTGTGGTAAACGTTTTCAAACATGAGCAGATATTTCATGTATTAGAAATCTGTAGAAATTCTCTCCTGTAATAAAGAAGAATATTGTGTTTTTCTTGGTTTTCTTTTTATATTTGGAAATGGAAGTTTTGATTTAAAGTGCTTTGGATCCTCAAAGACCCACCTTCTAGGGGCAGCTTCACCACTTAATAACCCTATGGCTTAGTAAGTTATTCATTCTCAACCTCTTTGAGTCTCATTCCCATTAGCTATAAAACAGGAACGACTATACCAACCCCTGCCTTCTGTGAGGAATGAATAAGCTTGCTTATGTAAAGCATTTAGCACACTGCTTAGCACAGTAAATGCTCATTACATAAGAGTAATTATGTTTTCTTTTGTACAACCTCACATAGACATTTAAATTCAGATTGCTGTTTTGTTAACAAATCTCAAGCATGCAAGCATAACTCTATTCTCAGGACTAATACAAGGTGCTAACATATGCCTTCTGTGCCAAAGCCTTGTCTCCCTACAGCCACCTGCATTCTCTATCTTGTTATCAATCACTACTTCATCTGCTTAGATACCTGAGTGCACTCTATATATGAAGGGGCTAGGTGAGATCTGTCAGAGACGTTCTACAAAGAATTCTCAGTTGGTCATGAGATTAGAAATATGTTAGGGGTTCACAGACTTTAAAACAGGAAACAATCTATGAAAAATACAGCTACCAACTCTTACTTTTGGCAAGTAAAAGCACTTAAATTTTCTTATTTTGCCAATGGTTTCAACTTACAGACCAATATTTGATTACTACTAGGTTGGATGAACCTCTGAGATTCTACTTACACATGCACAGATGCATATACATCACACATAGTTTTTTGAAGCTTCTGCAAAAAGTAAACAAGAAAAGAGAGTAATTAAATTAAAACTAGAAATGAACAGTGAAAAAATAGAACAGTGAGGTAAAGCCAGGTCCAATAAGATAACTAATCATCTACAAAGTCTAATGAAGGATAGAATGAAAGCAAAAGAGAAACAGAAAGGGGAGTGGTTGAAGAAAATGCCAAGCAATACTTTGGCTCGGGAAATGGGCATTCTTGCCCGAGGCATGGAATGGAAGTTAGCAGGCCAGGTATGAATGGTGGGGGATGAACAGAAAATGCGCATGCCCTGTCTAAAGCCTGCAGTGGTGAATGCTGACAAGACCAAGTCCTGGCCCCGTGGTGCTGACCGTTCTAATTTTTTAAAAAAAAACCAGAAATATGGCTTTTAAGTGAAATCTTCCAGTTCTTAAACACTACCAACTGACTGACCTTTTTTTCTTTAAATCACTTAATGGTCCAAGTAAAATACACCTCTGGGACACACTCAGTCCTCTCATTGGGAAGCTCTGGTGTAGAGTGAGGAAAAGATGATCAAGGGTAACAACCTGAAAGAAAGAGGAAGAGGCACAGCCCAGAACAAAGACTAAGACGAAGAAGGAGGAACCAGTAAGGTGTGTTATGAAAAGTCAGAGAATTCCAAGGAGCAGTCTACTGTGAAATGCAGCAGAAATAAGATAAGGACAGGTAAGTGGTCACTGGTACTAGTTTTAGAAGCAGATTCATTGGAGTAGTGGAGGCTAAAACACAGGTACTGGTTGAAGAAGATAAATAGTTCAAAACCACAGGGTTAAATGAATAGCAATGTGTGGAGCTATCCCCCCCTCACATCTGCTGCTGGCACTGAGTTGGTACAGACCAGAAATGCTGTTGGCCATCTTATAATATGCAGACAGCCTCCACAACAAGGAATTACCCAGCTCACAAAGCCAATAGTGTCACTGTGGAGAAACACTCTGAGGTAGGTGTGTAAAGCCTTTCTGATTTGATGGGGGGAGAAATGCGTTTTAAAAACAGTAAGTTAAGACAAGGTCGTTATTTTTGCTCATCAAACTCATGCATTCAGGCTCTCATTAATCCCCATGTTGATACTGTATTTGTTAAGATTACAAACATTAATAGGTGTTTCCTTTTGTCAAGACAAGAGTGATAGTAGAAGAAAAATCAGGAGGATAAGTCATCCCTGTTTAAAGAATTGATATATTCAGCAATCTTGTAGAAAGGCAGTGAGTTTCAATAAGACATACAGTCATACCAATTATAATGAAATAAGACAACTATAAACTTCATGGTAAGTATATTAACAACCTTTTTAATATATTTTTAGTATGTACACTTATTTTAAAGGACCTTTATATTTAACAGATTCATTAAAATCAAATTGTCCTAACTGACACATGAGGTATAAATTAACCGTCACACACTATCAGAAGTTAAGAAAAAAGAAAGCTCTCTTGACTTCCATTCCACAAGAGACCAGAAGTTTTAAGAATTCACCCAAAGGCAAGGTAAATTAAAAAGCAGCCCTTTTATGAAGAAGCACTATTATAAGTCAGTATCTCTCACTTCTCCTAATAGTCCATTAACCCAATGACAATTCCTTAGTCATATAATATACTTTCAACTGATCTTAAGACTGTCAACAAACATTTATTAAGCACTTAATATGTAGGCCAGGCAATGTGCTGAATATTATAATAGTGAGCAAGTTATTTCTAAGCATTTAAAGAGTAGGAGAAGATAACAGCAATAATAAGCAACAATAACAAACTAAATACAATAGCTAATTTCAAGTGAGTAGTCACTAGAAACATGCATTAAGTGGGGTACCTACCCACCTGGGTGGCAGGATTCTGGGTAGCTTGCCAAGGTAGGTGCTATTTAAGCTGAAGACAGGAGGACAGTAAGCTAGATGAAGCAGGCTGGGTGAAATATTCAACTTTGAATGGCAGCTCAAAGGCCTTCAAGTAGGAGGGAAAAACAATGGGGTAAAGGACAAGAACTTTGTTTGCTTCCTAAATCTTACCTTGAAAAAAAGTATTAGAAACCCCACGAGTTCTATTATTTCTACAAGATGCAAAGAGACTATTTTAAACAAGACAAAGTAGAAGAATCAACTGTTAAAACATACTTGACAGGAAGAAAAAAACACTCTCATTTGTTCAATAAGCAAAAACAGTATAAAATTGCTAATTAAATTCTCGGCTCCTTTACCTAGTTCATGACAACTTGTACCAAGACAATATATTAACAAATCTGTGCCAGCATTAATTTGCACAAACTTCCTTCTTACTGCTTCACATTCTTGCACACTAATTATTCGTTTGTCTTTTCAACACCCACCAGTCTGAGAATATTCTAAGTCACTTGCCCAAAGGCCTAAGTAAACCTTATTTTAAAACATCCAAAATTCCAACCTGATTTCCAAGAGCCATGCCTTAAATGGCTATTATTTCACTACTTCCCTCATTCTGTTTGGGGCATAATATAATTATTCCAAATCTTTTAAATGCAAGAATATGTTATTGTATTACTTTCAATTATATGTGAGGACAATATACTAGTATAGGCTGGATATAATTCTAAAACAAACTGAGTTTTCTCTATTTCTATAATATAAAGGTGTTAACAAATAACAATTTAAACAAATGTTTATTGAATTCATCTTTTATTCTTCTTTTGGCAAACAGATAATATGAACAAAACTATACTGCTCGCTCTAGTTATACACACTCTGTCTTGCTTTATACAAGTTGTAAACATATTTAAGTGGATAAAATTCTTGACTTAGCACATTCCAGAATTCTGACATACTTTTTGAGTTAAAGCAAAAGAAAGCTTATGAAACTTCCACTGTATTATCATTACACAGCAAACGAAATTAGTATATCTGCTTTTAAACTAACATCTACCATTTTTTAAATACTTCAATTTTAGGTTAGAGCTAAAATGATTTTTATCTAAAGCAGTGGTTCTCAACCTTCTGGCCCTTTAAATACAGTTCCTCATGTTGTGACCCAACCATAAAATTATTTTCGTTGCTACTTCATAACTGCAATGTTGCTACTGTTATGAATCGTAATGTAAATATCTGATGTGCAGGATGGTCTTAGGCGACCCCTGTGAAAGGGTCGTTCGACCGCCAAAGGGGTCTCGACCCACAGGTTGAGAACCGCTGAAAAGTTTTATGGAAAAAAAATAAACAGAGCCAACCATACAAATGCTGTTCATAACCATATCAACCACTTAAAGATGACATATTTCAGAGGGGCGGTGGTGGGTAAGAGATTAACCAATGAAGTTATATGCACATATGCATAGCCCATGGTCACAGACAACAGTGTGGGGAAGGCCTGGGGAGGGGGCATGAACAGGTTGGAGGGAGACAATGGGGGGGAAGGGAGGACATCTGTAATACATTCAATAATGAAGATAAATTTTTAAAAATTATACAAATTAAAAATAAACCTATAATCAAGAAAATGCCACTCATCTTGTTAGAAAAAAAAAGTTACCAATAAGGTATTTTCCAATGCTTTAAATGTAGATGAAATTCATAATAACTAGGTTTCATGATACCTTATTTTATTACTTAATGCTTATCTTTTAATTTTAAAGCAACAGGTTACTTCAAAATAAAGGCAATATGATTAGTATTTTATAATTTCATTATTTTATCAATTTCAGAGCCCCAAGAAAACTCAGATCTCAAAACAGGCAGCCTTCAGAATGTATTTTGCTTGGCAGCAGAATGGCTTTTAATCTCTTGAAATGGAATACCTTCACGTAGTACTTACTTGGTCTAGTTGACCAGCTTCCCACATCATCAATGAAACTGACACCCATTTTTAATATATAAACCTGATATTTAACTGCAAAAATTAGTTGCATTCATAAAGCAAAAATTCAAATATTATAAACTTCATGCTACATGTTACTAGCTTTTTCTAATTGGGGAAAGACAGATCTAATAAAAAAAAAGTGTAATTTTCATAATACTTTCTTATCAAATTACCAGACACATTTGTATATATGAGTACTATCTTCTTAGAAGGAATACTGTTATGTGTAACTTGAAATCTGAGCTAGATAAATCATTCACACCAAAAGGTATTATATACTGATTTTTACTACACAGTCTGGCTCCTAAAGAGTGGCTTTCAGCTTGATCCATACACGTGATACAAACATTCTCAAATACTTCAGGGTACAGAAAGGGGACATTAAAAGGCGAACAAAATAACAGTAAAAAAGGCTTTCTTTTAATCCTAGAGAATGAAGCAAAAAGAAAGGTTTTGTAAGAGAAATTGGGAAAGAGGAAGGATTTGAAGTATATTTGGCCTTGGACACTTTTGACAGTGCTGCTTCAACTTGTAGAAGTTCATGGGTAAGAGAGGTCACAAATCGTTTCTCAGTGGAAAAAAGTGCAAGGAAAGCAAAGCAGCTGAGCAGTGAAGGAGAAAACACCACAAAGAGTACAAACATTTGTAGTTATGAAAATAAGAAGTTTAAGAAACAGCAAGTAGTAACAAATTAATCAGACATTAGTATGTTGGGACCTTTAAAATGACACAAAAATAAAAGGCTAATCTATAATTCTTTACAGGTTTAAATCTGATAGGGAACACCTATATATTTTGAATCTGTCTCATTTCTTAAAGTTTTAACAACTGATTCCCATCTGAGAAAAAACATTTTAAAATTCTTAATCATTAAAACAAGCTTCTTGGCTGCACTTTGATGGGGTAATAAAAAAGCTTCACAGCATTAATTTCACTAATACCAAGGTTACTGCAATCAAGTTTCTTTATAAGGATAAATTAAATTTGCTATCACCATCCCCACAGTATTGCAATCTTCAAGAAAAATTACACTGAAATGGTTACTGAAAGCTTTTAATAAAACATTAAGATTTATTTCAACAGAATGTTCAGGATCCCATATTAATAAAAAATATAAGCAAATAGGGTTGCATCTCGGCCTATGAATGATGCTCTCCACAATGGACGTACAAGTGTTTAAAATACCAGTAAGGGGATACTGGTTAAAGTTTATCTCTGACATTTTTTTTAAAAACCTATTAGCAGCTATGCCATAAAACTGATTTAAAGTAGTTGTTCTTTTAGTAACGTTTAAAACAATCCAGCACTTGGTATAAATACTCGTATCGGCACACTGTACAAAAACATAATTGTGCAACACTCTGTAAACTAGCTGCAGTTTTCAGTAACTTTGTTCACCAACCACGTGACAGAATTGTAATGTTCTCCTAAGCCATATGCGTGTCTCATATATCTGAAAGAAAAAGAAAAAGAAATTACTGGTTTTGATGAAGGTAATTCTTTGTATATAAATGTTTATTATGCATATAACACCACGCCCTCTGACTGAATCACTCTACAGATGTATCATTCAATAAACTGCATAAGCATATTATTTAAAAAGTTCAACAGCATGTGAAAAGCATAAGATCTTTAACCACGTCTGCTGAGTTTAAGTCCAATAAAACACAATCATTAGAGGGGGGAAAAAAGATTGAAATTCTGAGTACTCAATAAGCTTAAAATTTTTACCTAAATCCAAACTATTAATGACCACCTTAGTAGGTTTATCTAATAAACACTAAAGCCGACAGCAAACTCTCCATGCTGTGTTTCAGGAGACTTCTCAGTCATGTAAAAATACTTTTACAATATGAAGAAAAAGATATCTAAAGAATAAACAATCAGGCAACGTGAATATATTTGTTTTTTCACTTGTTAAAACTTTTAGCATTATTAATGTCAACTCAGAACAATATTCAAACTAATCCTAAAACTTTCTAACCTTTAGAAATGATTTTATTATTAACTCACATGCAAAAATAAATCACTATAGATTTAAATAATTATCTAAATCTCACATTTTGGCAATGCTTTTTAATTCTACAACTGCCTTTAACATAAATAAGCTTATTAATTCTGCTGAGCATAGGTGTTTTTTTAATTAATCAACAACAACCTAAAATATTTCAATAATCCTTTTTGTCTTAATTATGAAAAATAAAACAGTAGACATTTCTAGATACTTACACAAGTATTAGTGGTTTGTTTGGATATTCTTCGCCAACTACAATAGGAGGAGAATCTGCCTGTATTATCTCTATTGGTGTTTGTAAAATATGAGACAGGGCTCTTAGCTATAGGAAAGAAAATGTATTAGTATAAAAATAAATAAAAGTATAAATCTTATTGAAATCATAAACTACTGAGGTATTCATGAACAGGGCAATCATTCAGAGCAGGGATTCTCTCTGTTTATCACTATACACTAAGAACCTGGCACACAGTAGGCACTTAATACATATTTGTTAAATTAACAAACAAATATAATATTTATTAAATCGAATTCGAAAGCTTCAAGCCCTGGTTACATGATAGCTTCTTAGAAAGATCAATGTCAGAGTAAATAAAGTGAAGGAATGGGTAGATTGGGCTCATTATATAGACTCTTTACTTTTGAAAATTTCCATAATAAAAAGTTTTTAAAAAAATCATTGTTAGAGCACCAGGCCAAATCAATTACAATTTTGGAGGGAAAGGGGGCAAAAGAGGGAACAGCGCAGAATAGGAGGTTTATTTTTCGTAAAGCTTTTCAGATGATTGTAATGTACAACTAGGGTTGACAGCCTCTGCTCTGTAATTTTCAAGGTGCAAATAGAATGAGATATGTATCTGAACTGCACTACTGTTTCATGGAATTTCCATCTAATTAATACACAAGTTTAAGTAATTTTATACCACAGAATATAAAATTAGAATTTAAAGTGGATGAATAAGAGTTAGTAATACAATCAATCTTCACATAACCTTATGGAACAATACTGTTATACTTATTTTTTTATTATACTTATTTTAAAGACCTAGAATTTGATGCAGAGAATGGTTAAGAGGCCTGCCTGAAGTCATGAACAAGGAAATAAAATGACTTGCAAACTGAGGAAGTTCATAAACAAATTTGAAAATCTTTAATGTAGGGCCTTGATCTATGTATTGGCCCCATTAATCTGTCTAAAATGTGGTCCTTTTAGAAAGTTTTAAACAAAAGTAAGAAATTACTTCAGGAATCTGAAAAAGGTTCTATGTTTTCATACTCTATCATAAAATGTTCCTCCAAGGCACTTTTTTCTCACACCTAAAATAACATTTTAAAAAACCTTAACATCTCTTCCCAGTCTTCAGAAATTTTTTTCAACCATAATTTAAATTTACCCCATTGAAAAAAATAGCAAATCTTGCCCAGTCAGTGTTGCTCAGGTGAGCATAAACCTATGAACCAGGAGGTCATAGTTTGATTCCTGGTTGGTTACGGGCTCGATCCCCAGTAGAGGCCGAACAGGAGGCAGTTGATCAATGATTCGCTCTCATCATTGATGTTTCTATCTTTCCCTCTCCCTTCCTCTCTGAAATCAATAAAAAAACATTTTTTTAAAAAAGAAAAAAACCCAGCAAATCTTATTTCAAATGGATTCAGAAATGAACAATTTATGAGAAATGTCCTTCAAAGGATTTTTAAAAGGTTCTTCTGAATTTATAAAGAGTCACTTAGGTCTTTAATTCTCATATTAACTTGGGATTTTTATAAGAAAGTTCAAGCATTTTTAATACTTCTTACATAGTGACAAAGCTACTGTGGAAACTTCCTGAGTTTTAGAGACCCAGGAAAGGCACACATATTAATGGGAAGTTCCCCCTGGTGACTAGAAGAAGTACAAATATAGCACTACTCAGAATAAGATTTTGCAGAAGCATTCAAGGAATACCTTGAGACAACATAGCTCTTTAAAAATATCTTTATATATATAAAAATTGATTTCAGAGAGGAAGGGAGAGGGAGAGACAGAAACATCAATGATGAGAGAGAATCATTGATCGGCTGCCTCCTGCACGCCCCACACTGGGGATCGAGCCTGCAACCTGGGCATGTGCCCTTGACCGGAA